GGTCATGTTGTTGTGAAACATGGACCATTCTATGGGTCTGTGTAATGCCACACGTTTGGTTGTTACGAAGCTCTCTCCACATGTTCTTGAATGTAGGATATTGACTGGAGATCACGCAGGTGAGAAGGTGTTGATTCCTCGGATGAACATAACTCCTTCTGATGTTAGGGTTCCGTTTAAGTTCCAACGGAGGCAATTTCCCCTTATGGTTTCTTATGCCATGACCATAAACAAGAGTCAGGGTCAGTCTTTATCACATGTTGGACTGTTCTTCAAAAAACTTGTTTTTAGTCATGGCCAGTTATACGTCGTTGTCTCACGTGTTACTAATAGGAAGGGGTTGAAAATATTAGTTTGTGGGGACGATGAGTTACCCAATAATCAAACTAATAACGTTGTATATAAGGAGGTTTTTAATAATGTATAACTTTTTACCAATGGCGGTTTTATGTTTACTTTATGAATGTCATACATATTATAATAACTTATTAATTAATGACCTTTTAATTTTTTAAAATTTTCCAAAACATGTACTAGCCCGTGCATCGCACGGGTTACATATTAGTGCTATATAATAATAGTTAAAATAATAATTGAGTAGAATAATTGATCCCTTAATGAATGAGGAACTTTGTACTCAACCATAATGAAGAAGAAGGAAAGAAACACTAAGGAGATCCTAGCAAAATATATTACACCAATGGGCACTTAAATTTAGTCAGAGCCCACAAAGAAAAAAGAATATATATTATATATAAAACCTCTTAACTTTTTTTGTTAATGGGTTTTAGGTGGTGAAAGTGAAACCCCACTTTCATGAATTTCAAGGATTTGTTTTTTTTTTTTTTTCTTAGAAAAATGCTATTAAGTTAACATTGTTGAAGGAGTAGGACTCCACTTAAAGTGTTTTGAGTTATGATGCATGTGAAAAAGGTGTTAATGGGTTTTAGGAATCCTATTTCAAGAAAATTTACAAAGTTGGTATAATATAATTTAAAAAAAAAATGAAATTTTGTTTAGATTTTTAATGTTATAACCTATAGTACTACTGTTGGATAATTCTAGGGGAATTTTGGATAATATTTATTTCAATAAAAATTTGACGAAAAATTCAATCTTAATATATATATATATATATATATATATATATATAATTATAAACTAAACTGATGATTGATGTTTCTATTGATTATTGTCCCAATAATTATAATTATCAAATGAAAAAAATAATGCCATCTATAAATTGACTAACATTCCAATAAATTTGTACAACAATAAATATAGCAAAAATTGATAAATAATCTCATCTCTAAATGTAATATTCCGTATAACAATTTATACAAGGCAAAATTGCATCAAAATACACCATCTTTTAAATTTTTTCCAATTTAATCACCACCTTTCAAAGTTTGCAACTAAGTACACCAGCTTTAGACATTTGGCAAATTGAAGCATGCCAAACAGAAACCGACACCGACTTTCTTACGTGGCAATGTCGGAAACTCACGTGGAAATCGGAAACACACGTGGAAGTCCAAAAATACCAAACAAAAAATTAAAATGCCACAAAATCAGTCTACTTGGCAGATTTGCTAAAATAAAATCAAAATTAAGTAGCTCCTCAGCTCTAAATTAAAAATCAGTCGAACAACTATGAACCCTAAATTGAAAAAATGTCGATCAATTCAAAATGTTCTCTTATGGCCAAAATAACTCACCTCTAAAATAATCTACAGAACCATCAAGATTGATACATCTCCCCCATGGTTCAAATTGTTCGACAATTTTGCAATTTAGGGTTCTTAGTTGTTCGACTGATTTTGAATTTAAGGTTGAGGAGCTACTTAATTTTGATTTTATTTTAGCAAATCTGCCAGGTAGACTGATTTTGTGGCATTTTAATTTTTTGTTTGTTATTTTTGGACTTCCACGTGAGTTTCCGACGATACCACGTAAGAAAGCAGGTGCCGGTTTCCGTTTGTCATTCTTCGATTTGCCAAATGTTTAAAGCTGGTGTACTTAGTTGCAAACTTTGAAAGGTGGTGATTAAATTACAAAAAGTTAGAAGGTAGTACATTTTGATGCAATTTTGCCTTTATACAACGATAAACATAACAAAAAAAATGTTGGAAACTTCAATTTTAAATAAATATAATTCCAACAGTATTCAAATATCCATGTGAATTTATATTATATTTTATGTATTCAATTCAGGAAAACTTTTTTTATTTTTATTTGTATACGTGTATAATTATCTGAGAGAAAAAGAAGAATGCAAGATTGAAAGGCAGCCAAAGTGAAATAAATTTACAGAGTTTAGGTGTTTGCCAGAGTTTTGCTGGCGTTGGGTTTTCGTTTATGTTATTTTTTTAGGTTATTTTTGCGTTCTTCAGTTTGATTTAGGTTGTGTTTTTGTTTAGTTGGTCTTGTTTATTCTCCCGTTCGGGAGCTTCATATTCTCCACTTGTGGGGACTTATTTGTTTTTTCTTTCTGTTTTGTGTTCCGTCTATTATTAGGTTGGTTATAGGTTACACTTCGTGTGGTTCTCCCAATTAGATTCAGTTGGTTGGTTAATTTATTCAGCTAATTAGTTGTTGTTTAGTATGTAATTATGTGTTTGTAATATGAACTCTATCGTTTTTTTAAAAAAAATAAAAATAAAATAAATATAGGTAAAGGGTTCCACCAAATCTGAAGTATAAATAAATTAATCCGTATAAACACCAATTATTTGGTGGGAGAAATGAGTGCAACCTTAATGTAATTATCATATAAATTATACATCATAGAAAAAGATTAATTAGCAGCTTTTATTCTATTATTCGAGAAAAAAGCAAACCCCAGCGGGTCTTTAGCCGAGCTAAAAAAAAAAATCATGCAATCGGACACTTAAGATGATTAATTGCGATTAGGGAATATAAATCACGTTGGAAAGTCGGATTAACATGTGATTAAAGTGACTCGGTTGGAGGGAGCAGACAAAGGAAATGTTGGAATGCTGGAAGTTATAGATATGCTCTGTCTGGACTAATTATAGTCTAATTAATCAGCTTAATCAAGAAAATCATATAACTAACTGTTTATCAACTGTGGGAGGTAAAAGTGATGCACGTTTTTCGTGAAGCGAATTATGCGGCCGATTGCTTGGCTTCCTTCGCTACGGAAGGCCCTGTGTGGGTACCATTTCTTCCATGATCCGCCGGAAGACATTCGTCAATGGCTACAACATGATTTGATTGGCGTAGCTTATTCACGGACCGTCGGCATCGTTACCTGCTAGGCGTGTAGCCTCTTCCATTGTACCAAAAAAAAAAAAAAAAAAAAAAAAAAAAAAACTGTTTATCAACTGTTTATCAGATAACCATTGAAACTGATATGTTCCTCAGCAACAAACTTCATTACTATGACGTATTTAACCCCGTTCAAGTGTAATGTCCACATCTGTTTTGGGCCTCATCTTTGCTTTTGACGATGGGTTGTCAACTTGTGACCATAAAGGCCCATTTAGACTACAAAAGTATTTGGACTACAAAAGGCCCATTTACTACTATAAACGTACTTTGCTATTTATGAGAAAGAAATGAGACAAAAAATATATTTCTGAAATGATTATTAAGTTAAAAAAATTTGAAATTAAAATGTAATACAATTTACTACATTATCTATTGAAAATACTTAAATTAAATTAAACTAGTAACAAAATATGTCTATCTAAAATATTAAAAATATCTAATATGTGTAGAGATATCTAAAATATTCTATAAGTCGTGAAATATGTGTAAAATCACTTAATTTTTTTTTTTTTTAAAAAAGTATTAAAAAATATTTTTAAAAACACTTGAATTTGTACAATGTTATTGTTTATACTTTATATACAACTTGTAATAAATTTAAAATAAAAAAGTCTTGAAAACACAAGATTCTTTATAGATAAAATGTTCTCAAAAAATGACCTTGTGTTTTCATCTCATATGAAATGTTATTTAATACACACACGGTCGTTTATAGGTGGATATTATCTCGCTCATATCCAAATTTAAATCATCTAACATTAGAGATAATAACATACACAATTTGAAATTTAAATATATACTGCTGAGATATATTGAACAGATTATATAATTTATTATTGTATAAACTAATTCAAACAACCTGTGTAACAGCATACTTGGAGATTCTATAAAATACTTTAAGATTTACCATAACATACTTCAAGATTCTAAGATTTTATAATGTATTACATGCATCTGGCTACACAACATACTTGAAGATTCTATAAACATGTATTTTAATCATCTCGAGCAGTCTCGAGCTGAGCCCAAATCACCGGGCAGCAGCCAATCAGTCCTGGACAGCAGCCAAACAAGCTTGGACAGCTACCAAGCGATCCTTGACCAGGGGCGAAACCACATGGAAGGTCGGAGAGGCGCCGGCCCTTCCAAAAAAAAAATTCGAACTAGGGGTGAGGGGTTTTGCTGGAACTGTAAGGGCGCCCTTTTGATGCCGGAGTGAGGGTGGTGCGCCGCGGGATGGCCAAAAGGGCGCCACCAGAAATCCGAAATCCGAAAACACAGAGCAGCTGAGCAGGGAGGCATGGCGCCATGGAGGGGAAGCTGGATCGGAGAAAATTTGTGTTTGTGTTTGGTTTTGTCGTGAAATTTTTTTTTAAAAGCAAACTAGACCCTCCCCGAAATGGGATCTTGGTTTCGCCACTGCCCTTGACCGTGTTGAACGAAGTCAGGACAGCACCCCGGACTCCCTCACAAAGGGTTTAGGAGAGATTAGGGGAATGCCACAAAAACAATTATAAAAAGGCTTTATTTACTGTTAAGGAGATGGGCCTATAAACCGAGTGCGTGAAAGGGATTTTTCTTGGGCCAATCATAAATGTTATTGGGCCACAAAAAATAACATAAAGCCTCTAAGCTGTTCGATAAATTGGCCAACTAAAACATCGTGGATTTATGTCTATCGTCGTTACGAACAAGTATCGGTTTCTATGAGGTACAGTCTCCTGAATGAGAAAGCCCTCTCGGCGGCGGTCCGGCGCAAACCGAGGCCAAAGATCCGCCCGCCTCCGCCATCCCGGGTCGTAATCCGAGTAACAAATCACATAGCTCATTTGGGCCACCCGAAAGAGGGCCCGAAACCCCGCCAGCTGCTGTCTTTGCCCCCGTTCCCGGGCCACCATCTGCCCGGAAGGAAATCGGCCTCCGCCCAACACGTCACCGCCGTTAGCTGGCTCAAGTATTATTTTGACGACATCCCTCGTCCCGCCGTTCAGAATCATTTCAATAAAGGCCTTGTCAGTATTTTATTTTTGCATTTTTCCTTTTCTGCGGCCTGTGTTTATCCTGTTCATTTTTAATGAAGTTGCTGTGGTGAAGCTTTGTCTCTTGTCCTCATTTATCTATTTGGAACCTGAGTTATGGTTTCGCTTTGGCCTCTTCATGTATTTTATCACTTATGCTGAGTGGAATCGTCCATGGGGTTGTTTTAAAGTATTTGTATGCTAGCAACTTTGCAGGAGTTGAATGCAGTGAACAAATAATGTCTCTGTTGTTAATGGAGCTAATAAATTACCGCAGCCAGACGTCGTTTTAAATACGAAGAACGTGAATAGTAACATTTTGTTGGGTATTAACAGGTACAGATGGAATGTTACCGAGGTCAATCGGCTTCCATGAGGAAGGTAACGATGTTTCCATTCACCACTTTAGTGTTTGCTCAGACTTATTTATTCTTGACGATAGTTGAGATGAATGTAATTTTCGTTCCCCCATTAACTTGAAAGCTTAAAAAAAAAGTCTTGATGCTAAATACTTTATCTTGTGAACTGAATTCTAATGCTCACTTCAGATTCAAATTGCTTCTCTTTACATCTGTAACAGTTATGCGCAGATTAATCCTAGTGATGTCATGGAGGAGGGTGACCGAGTTTATGTCCCGGTATCTGTTGCCGAAAGTAAAATTTCAAAGAGGTTTGATGTTATCCCGAGTGGAACACTGAACCCAAATGCAGATGAAATTGAGTATTTAAGAAGGCTCGTAAAGTACAAGGCATGTTTCTTTATAGATTACAATATACATGATAAGCTCCACTCCTACAGTAGCTAATTATTGTTATGTCTTTCTCGTTCAATTCCGTTACTCTTCATTTGGATTGATGGGTCTTAACAAGTTAGACTTTCATATTTATACAATAATGCATTGAGCTTGTGGGGACTTCCAAAACATTGTGCTTCTATAACTATGATTCTGTTGTGTCCCATAACTAATTATTCTACGGCTGCAAATTTCAGGACTCCGCTATACTTATACTGAATAAACCTCCCAAACTGCCAGTAAAAGTAAGCACATTAATATTAATAAATCATGCCGTTTTTTAATTGATAATTATGGATGGTCTTTTGCCTTTAGAGAAGCTAACCACATGGAATGTGAGAACAGGGTAGTGTGCCAGTTCACAACAGCATGGATGCATTGGCAGCCGCTGCATTATCATATGATTACAAAGAGGGGCCAAAGTTGGTAATTTTTTTTCTTTTCCATCTTTCGGTTGCTTTTTTTTTCTGTTTTCTGTCTTAATTGCTTGATTTGGGTGTATATATATGCATCTGCCGACCTATTTTAACTTTTGGTTTCACTATAACTTTCCTTTCATCTTAAGGTGCATCGTCTTGACAGAGAGAGTAGCGGGCTCCTCCTAATGGGAAGAACTAAAGAGAGTATTTCATACCTCCATTGGTTGTTCAGTGATGTGAGAAAGGCGAAACCCTTGTCTAAGGTTAGGAATACGTACAGAAATGACCATTGAGGTCTGGGCCTTCTTACAGAGGGATCATATTATCTATCTAAATTCACAGTAGTTTCTTAATCAAGGATGCAAAGTTCACTTTAAACTATATAAATTATAATAGATATCAGCGGGCTTGTGTTGTAATTTGAAAGTAACAAATTATTATTATTATTATTACTGCTATTGTTACTATTATTATTTGTAATCAGATTAAAATTTCTGTTGATACATTTGAATAGAAATTGATTTTCATTCAAAATAAAGCCACAATTGCCGACAACCAAATCTGCTTTTGTTTTGGATTGACCAAGCAAAACCTGCATTCCTTTAGATCCAAAAGCGATTTTGAATTTGTAAATGAAATGTTAGGGAGTTTATGCATTTTTTAGTTGAGAGGTGAATTCGATTAAATTGCAATTAGAGCTCCAAGTAATTCACGGTCTTGCTGGTTATTTTTCCTTTCATTTTTCTCTCTTTTTTTTGGGGGTTTGTTCAAGGCTTGGAATGATGCTTGTGGGGCAATGTATCAAAAGTATTGGGCACTAGTCATAGGTGTACCCAAGCAAAAAGAAGGCATAATTTGTGCCCCGCTCACAAAGGTTTTTCCCGCTAGAACTTAATGACACTCTCAAATATCATGCTATTAAGAAAAAAAGGATCACCCAACAACACAATGCTGATCTCAGGTACTTCTTGATGATGGGGAAACAGAAAGGGTCATCCTATCTCATAATTCAGGCTTAGAAGCTTCCCAAGAGGCAATAACCGAGTATCGTGTGCTTGGCCCTACCATCAATGGATGTTCGTGGATCGAATTGCATCCCCGCACGAGACATAAACATCAGGTTCATGGAATTGACTATACACACACACTCAGTTTATTTTTTGCAATACTATATTTTAATTGAATTTGATTGTATTATGCAATGAACGTAGTTAAGAGATTATTATTATTATCATCATCATCACTATATGATTTTGTTTTTATTTTTATTTGTAATTTTTATTTTTCCAGCTTCGAGTTCATTGTGCTGAGGCTCTTGGTACCCCAATAGTGGGGGACCACAAGTATGGGTGGTTTGTCCATAATCGATGGAAACAAATGCCAAGAGTCGATTTTGAGCCAACGAGTGGGAAGCCTTACAAATTAAAGAGGCCTGAGGGCTTGGATGTTCAGAAAGGCAGTGTCTTGTCTAAAGTTCCCCTTTTGCATTTGCATTGCCGGGAGATGGTACTGCCGAATGTGGCCAAGTTTATGGAGCTCCACCACATGCAAAACCGTGCGGGGCCCGTGTGTGATTCGAGACCGGATGTGCTACGTTTCGTGGCCTCAATGCCTTCTCACATGAAAATCAGTTGGAATCTCATGTCCTCCTACTTGGTGTAAATAATTGTGAGCTCCAGTTTGCTGGATAGGATTTTTGGTGAAATTTAGAGCCAAAGTACAATACATGAGATTAGTAGTGTATTATTCGTTCGGCTGTTGGCAAATAGGTTTTGTTATTTTCTTGTCGTTCGTTCTCTCTAAACAGAACTTAGCTTTTTTATTTTTATTTTTATTTTTATTTTTATTTTTTTTATTACAATCTATTTATATATGAGATAATTATCTTTTTACGTGAGCGTGCATAAAATTTACATGCTAGAAGACGGTGAATCTAACAACCAACAAGTTGAAGCTAGTTAGGAGAGCCTAAAACAAACAAAAACAAAGAACAAAGAGAACTATATCCAGGCTTCCACAAGTGGAGAAAGACACCAACAGAAACAATGCCCTCCCTACCGAACAACAACCTTATCGCCAACGCAACCAAGCAAACACCGCGCGGACAATTGGGAAGAGACCATAAGAACATCAGCCCAACACAGCACCATGGAAAGCCCGAAAAGGGGCGACCCATGGCTGGACCACCACCACAGACCACCACAAGGGCTCCCGTAACGACCGTTGGACACGCCATCTGGCGCTACCCACCTCAAACTCGCCCGTGAGCAGAACCACGTCTGGAGAAGAGACTAGAGTCCACCTCGGCCGCCGTCAAACTTGGGCAGGCCAGATGCTCGCCGAAAGCACAAGGACGAGGCCCGCCGGAGGAGAGACACACCCGAGGAAGAAGACGGCTAGGGCTCGACGGATTTAATATGGGGATTTTCCGTTTTTAGAATGACCAACTTTATGCTTTATTTCAATGAATTACAGAACTTTGCAACAATATCGAATTATGATACACCATTTTGAATAATTTTTTGAGATACATCATACTACTTGAATAGTATGTATGCATATTGGGTTACATATAATATATATGGGAAAAATCTGACAATTGATTCAATACATTTCTCATGTTTGTCAACAGTTTGAGATATAACCACATGAGTAGATGCAATTGTCTTGTAGATATGTAATGCAAAAAAATGCAACTTTATGCACTGTCAACTTTATACGAAATACTATTGGAATTTAAATTTCAGCCCAACATTGATCAAACTTCTTATTCGATCTGGCTGGGGAATCGGCTTGAAAATTATAAATCGAAGCTTTCTCGTTTACAAGTTAGAACGGAATTACAAGTTCTTCAACGATACAATAATAAAAACAAAGCAAAAAACATTGTGACATGAGTTGACAAGTTACTGCAGAAACTAAACAACCTAAGGCATTCAGCCACAAAGCAGTAAGAAACATCTCAATTATAACCAAACCCATAGCTTAGTCATATGTTACAAAGATGATGCAAAATTTGAAAATCTCAACCACAAAGTTGAACCTTCAATCTATAACGATTGATTTTTCACAACTACACCGGAACAGGACATTGTAAATAAATAATCGTTCATCAGAAATCCAATTTAACAAAACAATATGCTTAGAAAATGAATCTAAAACTAAACAATTGTGGGTGGAATAAGAAAAAACCAACACCAGAGAAAAATATAGAAACTCATACCCACTGCAATACCAACAAAATTCTTTGAAGGTCAAAACTTCCTCAGTTTCTTAACAACTTAAAAGACTGATGGAGAACTATCAAAGTAAGCACATTATAACACAAGTTGAAAATATCAAAACAAGGAGATCACCAATTTCTGCTCAATTAGTTGTCGAAAAGATTGGGCTATACCCAATTTCTTTCAGCAAGTAGCTCTCTTCACCTCTTGTCCCCACTAACACTACTCTTAACCTCATAAACGTCCCCAACTTTGTCCAAATAAGGTCCCACAAACTTGTCATAGAACTTCCTATCCGACAGTCTACACAGAGTCGCTAAACTAGGCCAGCTTTTGATCAAATTCTCTCTCTCTAGAACCCCCAAAACCTTACACCTAGGCTTAAACCTATTCTCGACGCTGTACGTAAATGCTACGGGGTTTTTAAGGATACACGAAAACTCATACTTGCCGGTTGCAAGAATAACCTCTTTCACCTCATTTATTTTCTCCGCAGAAACCCCAAACGCCAGAGGCACTTGTCTAAACGCCGCTAATATCTCTTCATCTGAAAAACCCATGTCCCGGAAAATTCTCATCTTTTGTTTCCAAGTTGTGCTGTTCATGGAGCTCATAACCCTAACAGCGTGCATAAATAATCTGGAATTCATACAAACTCCCATATCATTGACTTTATCCACTAATTTCTTCATGCGCTCGGGCTTACAAAAAATGAACCTCCGGAAATAACACACAAACCAAATGATCTGTTCCATGCCCACACCACAGCTTTTCAAGATCTTGACATTGGGCTCAAGATAGTTCACGCTCGACTGGAAGATCCGCGGGTCGTGAGACAAGACGTTGGCTATGTCATCCGAGGAGAAGTCCAGGTCTTGCAAAATCTTGATTTTGGGCTTGATTGTCTTCTCGAGATCCGAGGAGAGCAATACGGGCACGGATGTCACGATTTTTTCCACTAGGGTTTTGGAAAAACCCAATTCCTTGAAGAACGAAAGGATTGAATCGGACTTTTCGGGGTCTCTCAGGCGAGTCAGGGAAGAGGCTACTCGCGAAGCCGCTTCGGGAGAGAAATGGTGTTTGTGCAGCAAATAGTCGGAAACCGTAGAGTTTGATACAGTAGATAAATGAACAAGAGGTGAAAAACGGAGATAACAAGGAAACGACGAATCCTTAAAACCGTACAAGTGGGTGAGATTCTTACAGCGCAAAACCTTACTAATAACCATTATACTGTAATATGAACAAAGAACGGCAGAGGAAATGAATAAACCTGGGTAATCGCTGATGAAAGACGAAGCTGAAAATCAATCTCCGCAAAAATAAATGTTTCTCGCGCAATTGGGGTTCCAATTTTCAGATTCGGGAGTAAGGAACGGTTCGGGATGTAGGGCTGGTTTGTAACGTAGGATTTTAATGGAGGACCACCTGAATTTATCTCTCTGAGTAATGAGAAGCCGGCGGCTGTCGTGACCGGAGTTTCAGAGGTAAAGGAGCAGATGATCGATTTAGGGCAAATGACGAGACTACTACGTACCGGAGGCTCCTCAACTTAGCACGTGCGATGCCTATATTAGACGAGGTATGTTTGTTTAAGTCTAGAAAGAAACTAGTACAACACCGGTGTATTACACGGGTGTTTGTTAAAAATTTATTTTTAAATTTTAAAATTAATAAGAAAATTATATTAAATTTAATTTATTTTTTTTTTTTAAAATATATATTACTATATATTTTAGAATGATATGTGTTACTTATGACTACATGTGTTATATTATATTAGTTTTTATAACTTATATAATATAACTACTTGAAATATAAATATATTAGTTGATAAATAATTTTATTTTTCTAATTAATATCAAAAATAAGTTTATTATTGTTATAAAAATAAATATAAATTATTTTTTTTATACATACAATATGGATGTTAAATCGAATCTCATCAAAAGAAGATTAATTTGATATATTATATATGTAAAACTGATAAAAATTACAAAAGTTATTAACTTTTAAAATATATATAATTCAATAGTTATAATAATGAATGATATTAAAATGCAATTAATACATGTAACATGACCATAAATAATCAACATATTTATGGTAATCCGAACCTAATTATTTTTTGTTTCGAATTAAATTAAAATTTATCCAAGCCTAATAACGAAACATGTAATTTTGCCACATAGGATTCTGAAGCACCAGAAGCAGCCACGTAGGCTCATCGCGTTCTGGATTAATATATATGGGAGATAATCTATTCTTCACTTATTTCATAAAAACAATAGACTAATAATATATTTTCTATCTCTTTTAATCATTGTTGTTTTATATTTATTACTTGTTAAAAAAGAAAATAACAGTTTTACTTATTCTTTTTACAATATAATGCTTAATAATTATTTTATTATAAACTTTGTTGTCATATAACTAGTGAGAATCTCGTGCGATGCACGTAGATTTCGTAATGTAAAATATTTTTGCAAAACTTTATTTAAACAATGTATTAGCCCGTTGATTTGTCTATATTAATATAAATAGCAATTTAACATATATATTTATTTTTTAATACAAAAAAAATAATAATTTTATATATTTTAGTTCATCATAATATTCAAATATTATTTTATTCAAAAATTATTGTCGTATAATGTCAATATGATTTATAACATTTATAGAATTAATACTTCTTTTTTATATAATGATAAATATTTAATGCAAATTAATATTATTTATTTATGTGATTAATTTAATAATATATAAGTAAATCTAATTTTGTTAGAAATGTGATGATCTCGATATTTTTAGGTACAAATATATGATATGAATATCTTGATATACAAAAGAAATTTTTATGTGATTTATTATCTTAAATAATTAGCCGTAATTACCTAAATTGTATCTTTAAAACATACCATAAAATGTGTAACTAATTTCCAAAATTAGTAATCAACATTTTTTTGACGGAAAATAATTACTATTTAAAAAATAATCAAACTTATATATATATATATGTCATTATTATTTATAAAAGTTATATAAATTGTACGTCTTCTTTTTCTTTTATTTTATTTAATGAAAAATATTTAATGCACGTTAGTATTATTTGTTTATGTTATCAATTTAAAATATGTAAATAAATTTAAAATTAAATAATGTATGAATATTTCACAAAATATGCACACATTTTTTTTTTGTTAAATTTAATTTTGTATACTTATTAAACAACTTTAGTTAGCAAATGCCAAAAACTCAATCCGTTCTATAATCAAAATTTTTCTAATATGCATTATAAGGATTTATAGTTTAATTAACACACTCTACAGTAAAAATGTATTTACAATAACTTCATTATAGAAATAAAAAAAATATGATAAAAAATTAATCATGGTTGTCAATAATATATAAAAAAAATTCTTAAAAATAGTTGATATA